TATTATATTATGTTATAGATATGGTGGTATTGTTAAGCACATATAGACATATATGTATATATATGTATACAAATATATATATATATATTATATATATATATATATATATTTTTATAATATATTTATATATCTCGTATCTCTATATATCTCTATCTATCTCTATATATATATCTATATATCTATCTCTATCTATATCTTCTCTCTATAATCTATCATATGTTGTGGGTGTGTGTGTGTGGTGTTGTGTGTGTGTTGTGTGTGTGTGTGTGTGGTGTGTGTGTGTTGTGTGTGTGTGTTGTGTGGTGGTGTGTGTGTGGTGTGTGTGTGTGTGTGTGTTGTTTGTATGTGTATGTTCTATGAGGTGCTATCCATAAATTACCACAGGTACTTCTGGCTCGTTTCCCACACCCAATTAGCACTGATTGCTCTCGACATTTATTATTACGCACGCACCAGCGACCTCTTCCCTGGTCACGATATGTTGAGCATAACGGCTTATAAAAACGGGTAACGTCAGATTGGGCGCTTATGATCTGGGGGTGCAAAACAAAGCCGGGTGTGTTTCTTGTCAGGAGAGGAAGCCAACAACATTTGGATGTAAGGTTTTGAAGCATTCATACTTCAGCATAATTTGCAAACACATTTGAATTGTCGTTGTCCACCCCCTCCCCCTCGCTCCCCTGCCTTTTTACGCTTTATTTGACGCTACACCTTCTTTCCTTCCCTTCCACGCGTACTTCATCTCTGCACGACTTCTGTAGCCTTCTGATGCTTTATAAGCTTTCATGTAAGCAAATTCTGAATTGAGCCTGACTCGATGAATTTCACGACTGAAGCACCGCCAGCATCGCGATTCACAAAAGACACAAAGGTCTGTAGCTGTGCTTGCCACATCAAGCGTGTTCACTCCCCAGATTATTCGAGGCTCACCCGGGAGGATGAAGAGTGCGTTCTGGGCGTTTCCGGGGAGGTCATTATGGAGGAGCTGAGGACGTCGACGCATCTCCAGCAGCACGCATACAGGTCCTGTCAGGCGCAGGGTATTTATGTCGTTTTCTATCGACGTGATGAGCGTCGTGCCCATTGCTCGGTGCGAGTGTCAGTGCCAGTGTTAGCGTTAGTGCCTGTGCGTTGTCAGTACAGGCACACGCGCAGACCGCGTCTAAGCGTGGTAGAGAGTGAGGGAGCAGCGGTCTGTCGTCCCTGGCTCTCGGCAGCTCGTACTTCCGCTATAGCCGGGATGACAATAGTTCGTATGAGGGCTCACCAGTGGACGTCACTCAGTGCACCTGCTCACTGCTCACCAGCGCAGATTTCCTCTGGTCGATTTTCCAGCCGTACAACGAAGATCGCCATTTTTCTGTTGATACGCTAGCAGGGTCTTTTATTCGAATGAACGACACTTATCGCTCCTTACTGAGCAGACTGTGCTTGCTGACGTCCGGTAGTAAAACCTAGCGGGTTGCGACAGGCGAGGCGCATAGACAAAAGGTCAGAACCGTCATGTGCATTTTATCGAAGGGATCTAGTCAAATCTAACGCCCTTTCAGACGGAAACTATATATTACATATATTATATATATACATATATATATATAATATATATATATATATATATATATATATATATGTGTGTGTGTGGTGTGTGTGTGTGTGGTGTGGTGTGTTCAGTATGCAGTACAGTCATCGGTTGGTTCAGCAAGCTGATTGTCCATATGTACGGTCGATTTGTGCACATGTCGATTGTTACGTGTCCACTCGTTAAATGATGTTTGTTCACGAACTGATTTTTTCATTCAGTTACAAACCTCACACATACTGTTTGTTGGCTCCAAGTGATGGGCTTTGTACAGTCTCGGGCTCACGCCTGCTGTTCGTTGCTTAGGGCGATGGGCTTTCGTGCAGTCTCGGCTTCACGCCTGCTATTTTTGGGCCCGGAAGTAATTGGGCTTCGTACAGTATCGGGCTCACGCCTGCTGTTCGTTGGTTCACAGTGAGTGGGTCCGTACAGTCTCGTGTTCACGCCTGCTGTTTGTCGGCTCAGAGTGATGGGTTTCGTGAACAAGATCATCAGCCGGCTGGACTCGGAGGAGCAGTGCTCAGCGCTGACCCACGACCTGTGCACTAGGCACATAGCCTACGGAGCCTTCCCACACCAGATGCTGGTGAGTGCTTTGCCAGAGGCTTGGCTCCGCTTGGCTCTGCTCGCCGCACCAGCTCAGATGCTGGTGAGTGCTTCGCCAGCAGCTTGGCTCCGCCCGGCTCTGCTCGCCGCACCAGCTCAGATGCTGGTGAGTGCTTCGCCAGCAGCTTGGCTCCGCCCGGCTCTGCTCGCCGCACTAGCTCATCAGTCGTGTCTCGCTGTGCATTCATAGCGACGATGGCTCGACTAGAAATCACCCGGCTTTCAATGCGTCCGAATGCTTTTTTGCGGACTCAGTGGTCGACGAACGCCAGCCGGTGCAGAGTCAGAATACTAGCGTACTTGCTTTAGAGGAACTAATGCTATCTTTCGAGGCAACTCTCAGATAAGAAGGGACAAATCTACAGGGTAAGGCAGTTTGCTATGCCCAGCTTTGGACTGCGGTTCAGCATTACGAGGCCTTTCATCCACTCGACTGATAAATCGTACGAGCCACACCGACTGACCACTCGCCAGCGCCTGCGTCGGCCACAGCTGGCGTAGCCCGGCGCCTGTGTCGGCGGGCGCAGCCCAGCGCTCGTGTCGGCCCTAGTGGGCGCAGCCCAGCGTCTGTGGTAGCCCCAGCGGGCGCAGCCTAGCACCTATGTCGGCCCCAGCGAGCGCAGCCCAACGCCTGAGTAGGCCCCAGCAGGCGCCATCCAGCGCCTGCCTCTGCCCCAGTAGGCGCAGCCCAGCGCCTGTGCCGGCCCCAGCGGGCGCAGCCTTCTGATACGTGCCGGGCTCTGTCTCAGCTGCTGGGTGAGCAGTTCATCGCCGTCGTGAGAGCCACCCAGGAGAGGTCGGGTCACTGGGACAGACACACGCAGGCCTCCTGGGAGAAGCTATTCCAGGTGAGTGCCGCCATACATCACGTCCTTCACGACAGAAAGTCCACGGCAAAGTTACTGGCAGGGCAGCTCAGGCCGTGGGAGAGAAATGGGGTCTGAAAATTTTACAGAAGGCTGCTTGGACGGCAGTTCCGGGTGAAACGTCTCCGATGTCTCAAAGTACAGAACTGTGCTTTGAATTTGGAATTTAAACATGAAATATTACCATGAAACTTGCTGAGCAAATTTACCTCTGGTGGCCGGCGCATGAGAGTCACGGGTCTTGTCGGTCTTTCCGAGGCAGTACTCACTCTCGCGGGGCGTAATATTGATTTCATCCCAAGCCAGCGCTGAACGGATCTGGCTAATACCGAGCAGACATGACTTCCACATGACTGAAACTGTCATGCGAGCTTGGGTGATAGCCCCCGAAGCATGCACTACCAGACGTGGGACTTGTGAGTGACATTGATTTGCCACGTGACATGGTAAGGGGGTCTGTGACGGCGTCCAGCAACAGTTAAAGGTGCCACAGTACAAGAGAGCCTCAGGCCATGACCGCCAATTACTGATTGCGGAACACGCATTAGAACCCTGTGTGCCTTTTTGCCGTGATGGCTTTGAAAAAGTACTCTGCGAGGTGGCTGGCGACACTCGCTACCTTCTACCAACATGCCCAGGGAGCAGGACTGTGTTGACCAGTCTATCCAACCGCATTTCACTTGTTGGAAAGGCTGACTGATAGAGACTAATCGACGTACTCCTGTTCATCTGGACATCTTGGCAGGAGGTGGTGAGCATCGTGGGCCACCTCGCAGGGGCGCGTTTTAAAAGCCATTGCGATGAAATGCACGCAGGGCTTTCACACAAGTTCTCATCAGAAACACGAACAGATTTGAGGGCTGACCATCTGTTCACAGAGGCGGAATGTATGGTGAAAACAGGGCGGTAAAAGTCGGGACGTCGAAGCAAAATGTGCAGGGAAAGAGTTATTTTATCGCATTGGGTAAAGGAATGGAGTGTTCCATATTTGTATAAGGTTTTGGGCTGGAAAAATATTTTGAAGATCGTTGGGTGTAGTTCACAGCCATGCCGTACTTAAGACTTTAATCCTTATGGTTTCTGAGCTACATGCCCGCAAAGATATACACAGTCTATTTCGTGCAGCCTATTTCGAGGCCATTTAGACATGCATCACGTCATGCCACGCCATGTCAATGATGCCAACGCCATTCAAATCCTGCCGTCCCGCAGGCCAGGCGGCAATAAGGCCAGGAAGAAGGCATCGTCCAGCCGTTCAGATCTGGCGTCTGTGAGCGCGATTCTCAAATATAGTGGGCGTCTATTGGCTCTCTAAAAATAATCAGCATGCTGGGCAAGCTTCCGTCACTAAGCACGCTTTGTGCTAGCTAATATAGGAAGCTGGGCATGATTTCTTCACTTGCTAGTTAGTACTGAAATAATACTTGTAATCGAATAACTTAAGAATAGCGCCTAGCCAAGTATGTCAATACGAGTAAACATATTAAACTTCCGGATAACTCTGCAGAACCAACACGAGAAGGGGCCAAAACACGAACACATATCGGTATTTTGCTGAGCGGACACTTTCAGCAGTGCTGTCATTTGTCGAAGAACTTGCAGCACTACAAGTAAGCAGTAATTTTGCCCGGCTAGGTAGGCAGCACTTCAACGTCATACAAATGTTCCTTAACGCAATCAAACAATGCCGTATTGAGGATCATATTTACTAAAAAGAGAAATTGTGTTGCCTAAAACAGTGTTCTCCACTTAAGAATACGTCAATAGTCGTAAGTGAGTTAAGTGCATCATATCTGATTTTCAATTCATTGTCTTAAAATGTGGAGCATTCCCTTCAAGACGAGCTCGGGTGAGGGAGTGGGTTAATTCGACCGCTCGAAGGTTTTCAAAATAATTTCCGCCTGGTAGGTGCAGTCGCGTCAAAATTCGCATAGCTATAGGCAATTAAATAGCGGAATTTTTGTGTAAAAAATTGGACGTGCTTTGTAAGGTGGCGCCGACCCATGGCAAGTCAAAGTCTGGCTATGGCTGTCGGCGAAGGTAATTCCTGGGAATCCTTCAGTCTGATGCAGCAGCGGAGTGTTAGGTGAAGCCACGCATGCGTCAGGCATTTTCTTAGACAATTAACCAATTGAAGTTAGGAACACGACGAACTCTATTGACCTTGGGTCAGGTATGGAAGCCCGACCGAGGTAAAACTTGACTGGTTTTTCGCTGGATAGCTTGCTTTACGAGTAGTTTTTGATGCTCATTTCGAATAAATCGATCACAGGGACATCAACAGAATTTTATTTGAGATTTTTGAAGGCCAAAAGTAGTTACTTGCTAAAATGACCCATACCCAAAACCTGCAATGGATCATTGCTGGTTCATCGGCATGTACACTTGTACAATTTCAAAAAAAATGATCTATTGACTCTCAAAGACACCCCCGTTAGTTAACCTAAAGTATCCGGCCGGGGCAACTTGAAAAATTTCATCAACCACACACCAACCAAGTGACTGGTGGCTAGCCACTACACAGGTCTTTGTTGGGGCTTTCAGTGCTGACGCTGGCTGGGTGCCGATGGCGGCAGTCACTGTCCACAATGGTGAACTGTCACCGCTTTCGACGTTCGCCGCCGTCCGCGCAACACTCCAAAGTGGCCTCGACAGGCAAAAAAGCAGACTCAACGTCACTTTGCGGGGCAGCTGCGTGTGTTCCTGCAGCACGGGCGTAAAAACCCACGCCACGTCATGGTAGCACTCCGTCGACTCAGTTGGATTGCGACACGGGAGCCAGTATCGCCTGTCAGCCCGTGCCAGCAGTGATCTCTCGCTTTCACACACGCACGCGCATATATACATATGCGGGTACGCACTCCCACGACGCCCCCCGTCCCCCGTCTCTGTATCTCTCTGTTACTCTCTCCTTATGTCTCTCCGTCGCCCTTCATCTCTCTTCCTCCATTTTCTGCTCTTTCTCTCTCCCCTCCGTCTCCCTTCCTCTCTTATTCGTTCCCTCTCTCCCTGGAAATTGATTTTCTTTCCCTCGCAATCGGTTCCGTCGTCACTCTCGTTCTCACCCCATCTCTCCATAAACAATTCAGTCACCCAAACTCGCCTCCTGTGCCAAGCGCATCGTCCCGCAAAGTCCCCATCGCGCCTGACATCGCCCTTCTGCGCCGGCAGTGGATCACGTGGACGTACGAGCAGGCAATCCACACCGCGCAGCGAGACAGGGAGGAGCTGAACTCGCGTTCTCACAGCGCCGTGACTAGTGGTTGTCTGGCGGGCAAGTGCCGGCGTCGGAACACGGACCCGAACTGTCAAGTGGAGCGCAGCTGAGCGGAGACCCGCAGCGACCGCGGCGGTCAGCTCCAGGTGGAGCGCAGTTCAGCGGAGGCCCGCAGCGACCGCGGCGGTCAGCTCCAGGTGGAGCGTAGTTCAGCGGAGGCCCGCAGCGACCGCGGCGGTCAGCTCCAGGTGGAGCGCAGCTCAGCGGAGACCCGCAGGGACCGCGGTGGTCAGCTCCAGGTGGAGCGCAGTTCAGCGGAGACCCGCAGCGACCGCGGCGGTCAGCTCCAGGTGGAGCGCAGCTCAGCGGAGACCCGCAGCGACCGCGGCGGTCAGCTGACCTGATCCGGCCACTGGCAGCAGATGCAGTGACCGGGGGAGGGGCAACGGTGACCTGCTCTCAGAGCTGGGAGCAGGCGAAGTGACCTCGTAAGGCGCTACGGTGGCCTCGCAGGAGGATCCAGGGGAATTGGGAGGGGGGGGGGCCTGCGGTGACCTTCTGAGAGGTTAGGGGGACCTGATCCCAGGATCTGGAGGACGCGTAGTGGTCTCGTAGGAATTACCTTGACCTGACGCGGCAGTTGGAAGGCACCAGGTGATCTTGGCGCGGCGGGGGCGGTGCCAGGAGTGGCGTGATCTGGTGCAGGCAGTGGAATGACACTGCGGCTTCTGCACCGTGTAGGGGCGCAGTGCAGTCTTAGGTGTCTGTGTGTGCGGGGGGACACAAGTGAAAAAGGCCCTCTGACGGTGAGAGGCCCCCTTCCCACTTAAAGTGATCGCCGGATATGGTCAACCAGATTTCGAGGCGGTCGGTTTTTCTGCGTTTTATTTGTATTCGTATGTTAACCTTCTTTCGACGGAACAAAAGCCGAAGCTTAAGGAAGATTCAATTCTGTTTGTGTTTTGAAGCCAATAAACTAACGGAAGTGGATGTCAAATGGCTGCATGGATTAAGCCGCAGGCGCCACCCATTGTGCAATGGTTCAGCTGGTTCTTTCTAAACCGATAGCGCTCAGAGGCTTGGCGAGAATTTGTATGAGTTCTACAAAGATATTGAGGACGCAGTAACGTAATTAGATATACATTGGAATGGGTTGGAATGTGAAATGGATGACAGTCGAAGGGCTCGTTACCGCCGATTGGGACCCCCTGTGTCGATGGAGGCTTCTATGTCGGTCTAGCACCACCAGTACCGATACGTCGGCTCCGCAATCGTCTGAGCCCTGGGACCCATTGTCCAAGTGGAACAAGGCCGGTGCCCGCGAATTGCATTGGTCAGACCTCTGAAACAATGAGAGGCCCTCTGTCCGAGGTCCTCCCCACCTCCAGGAAGGGTGGGGAGGACAAAGACGCCCTGTGCCAGCGCCCGCTGATCCCGTGTTCCTTCTTCACGGACACATCGTTGTGACGCATCGTTGTGACGCCCCCCCCCCCCTCTCTCGCTCACCGGGGCACGCCGCAACCTCAGCCATGGGGGGACCTCTCAGCCGTTCCATCAGAGGCCTCGCCCAAGGTGAGGCCAGGGGGAGGGGGGGGGGGGGGGCTCGGTTACGGTGACAGTCCAATTTCGACGCAACATCATCTAACACCTGCTCGGTGTACTGGCAGCGTACTGGCGGTGTAGCTCGATTCGGGCTACTACATCTGGAACTGTGACTGGTGGTCAAGACATAGAGGTCGCGTGACGTTGAATAGCACTAGCTGCGCTGTGACGCTTAGTTATCCTCGCGTAAGCGTCATTAAGATGCCTGCATGCATGTCTGCGCATGCATGGGTGGATGTGCGTAGCTACGTGCCCCTTTCTGGTACGAAATGACATTCCACAACGCGCAGGGATTTTTGTTTTTTATAGAGCTCATGTTGCTTCAAACTCTTCTCCCGTTTTCTTTATGTGGTTACTCATATTAAAGGACATTGGCATTTTTGAGTCCACAGTGTCCACAGTTACTGCCAGCTCCTAAAACGACCGTGTAAATTCGATTCTACGTTATACATCATTGCGTTAAATATGCCTTTAAGTGTTGTTTTCAGGTCTGTGGACTCGCGCGTTCAAAACAATGTGTTGAAATACAACGGGGATTTGTCGGCTTTCCAGGTGCATACGCTCTTCGGCACATATCTAGGTGATAAGAATCGCGAACATCGATCCCTTCGCAACCTTACATCAAAATGAAATACACGTGATAAGAGGTGCCATTGATTTATCGATTCTCTTGTAACTACACGCCAGAATGAAATACACATGATGAGAGGCGCGAATTATGTACCGATCCTCTTGTCGCTGTACGTCAGAATGAAATATACGTGGTAAGAGGCGCGAATGATCTATCGAACCTCTTGTAACCATACGCCAGAAGGAAACACCCGTTGAGGATCCCGACGGCCCTGCTGTACAGCACACGATTCGATCCCGACGGCCGTGCTGTACAGCACACGATTCGATCCCGACGACCGTGCTGTACAGCACGCGATTCGATCCCGACGGCCGTGCTGTACAGCACACGGTTCGATCCCGACGGCCGTGCTGTCCAGCATACGGTTCCAATAAGCATGGCTGTATGTGCATTGAAATATGCGCCAGGTTCGCCAAGTCACCGCTGCCACCTGTATTAGATGCAACTTCACTCGCCTATGTTATAATACACTGCGTGGCCCGTGAGCAATAGGATTCAGAATCCGAAGCCGAAAACTTCAACGCAAGAATCTAAATTGGGTTTCACTGGACCAGACTGATGTGGCGCCGCGTATATGGCCCACACGCACATTCCTAGTGACCGGGATGGGAGTCCCATCATCTCGCGCGCGGCCCTGTCAGTGCGTCGGACTGCAGATGCGGGACGGAGTGCCGTGTCACGCACGACACCTGGGGTGAGGCGGAACCACGGGGTGTGACGCCACCATTCGACCACAACTCGCTGCTGACTGACCATTCTTCATCGACAGCTGGACACCCTCCAAGTCGGTACTTTGCAGATAACGCGCTTGGTCACTTCTTCAAATTCAACACCACCTTCAGTCCTTTTTTTGGTTCTCAACGTGTGGCTAACCAGGCAGCGGTGTCCTGCTCACACCTGTCAGTATATGCTCGGTAGTGGCACTTCCGAGTTGGCATGACAACGAACTACGATGCCCGTTTGCGCGTGGGGTGCTCGCCCCGTTTCGCGCACTCAAGAACGAGCAGGGCACTTTGTGGCCTTGGTTAGCACTGGTCGATTTTTTTTGCGCAAGATAACCGGATAACATTATCACCTTTCCAAACAGGTTTTATCTGCGGTAAGCAGGTATAAGGCTTTCAGGCAAATGCACTTTAGGATCGTACGGCTAAAAAAATGCGTAGATAAATCACGATGAGAAAAGTATGCGGAATGAATCGTATCGGAAAGACATCGCTTGCTAAAGGTCATAGATGAGCACTATACGAGTCAAGGTCACGGGTGCTTAAGTTTGAGCGAGACAAATCTTGCGGAAATAGGGGTCGGATGGTTGATTTCCTTTACATTCAAAGGCCATGTACTTCCCATTAAGCCACAACTTGCAGTCGGCTCTACACTATAGGCGAATGAACTTATAAACGGTGCCTGTCGGAGGTCGGCGTTGGCGGAAACGCAGCTTGGAGCGAGCTTTGACTTTGTAATTTACATCTCCGCTCTGGAGACACCCGCCCAGAGTGGATTCTCACGAAACCGCAACGAGTGCTAAGAGGCTACGAATCCAGGAAGCCCGTGTCATGGCAGAGCCCTGCTACCAATTCCAATGATGCGCGTTTTAAAAATACTTGAGATCATGACACATTGTGTGGGAGCTAGTACCACTGAATCTAGTTGCAACTCTGATCAGTTTGGTCGCACAACAATGGGCTTAAAATGGGACCTGAAATCAATGTCTGAGCGCTTGGGTTGCCGTTTAGTTTCGAATGGCCCTCCGCCCCATTTGAAACTAGTTCTGAACTCAACATTCACAAGATTTTGGGGCTAGCAATCTCACCAGCCCACGCTGGTCTTGTCTTATTCTTATGCAAGTTCACTAATCAGACGCGTCTCTGAAACTGTTTTAACGCCTTGGTACATAACATTATGACGGTAGACCGACCTCTCCATCACTATATACTGTGACGTCCTCGCGTATGTCGTGAACTTACGTTCACGTTTGCGGTGCGCGCGCTTATGACACGCTG